CACTTTCCTCGTTTGGAGACTAGTTTTTGATTTTCGGAGCCTTTGGCCTCACGCCTTGTCTCGGGACCACTTAACGTTCTGCGTTTGGTGTGGTTTTTGAACCACACCTTGTTGCCTTGGCCTAGAGGGCCACTGTGGTCCGGGAGACCACTTTTGTGGTTGTAGACCACTTTTGATGCCCGTAGACTAGTTTTCAAGGCTCCCGGTTGCGCGCCTTGCCTCCCAGACTTTCGTCTTGCATCCTTTTTGTTTTGTTTTTGGAACAAACTTTGCTTTCCTTGTTTGGAAGGTGGTATAAGGATGGGAGACTAGTTCTTCCCCTTTGAGACCACTTTCCTTCTTGCCAGCCAGTTTTCTGGCCAGCCAGTTTTCTGGCCAGGCAACTGGTTTTCTTAGTCTTTGGGCCATCTTTTCTGGTCGGCCACCACACCATTGCCTTGCTTTCATGCTGCAATCATCTCCCCTCCATTGCCGACGACTTTTTACCCTAGCCGACCACTTCCACTGGTCGGCCGACCAGTAGAAGTAGCTGGCCGACCACTTCCATCACCTTTTTGGCGATATTTTTAGTATAGCTGTGCCAGCTAGAAGGCATAGAAGCCATCCTCCAAAAGCTTGTCCAACAAGCTTGTTGCTTGTTCTCTATAAGAGGGAACCTCCCCCCTCCTCCTCCAGGTTCAGATTTTAATGCTTGAGCTATACATATACACCTTTGTCTCTATATTGCTCTTGTTCTTCATTTTTGTGTTCAAAAGTGCCTTTTTATCACACTTTAACACACAAACACACACTCAAACACCATCCTTTTGTTGCTGAGGCACTTTGAGGTTTGTTTTGGAGTTTTTGGACTGGTTTGAGCTGAAAGAAGTTGCTGGAGTTGCAGCTTTGAAGGTGTTCTTCAAGGGTGAGCTTCTAACCCTGTAAACCCTTATCTTTGCTTAAGCTTTTGGACCTATTTTCATGCTGATTTAAGCTTAACTTTTAACTATAAAAAGTTTTATTTTTGCATGCTTATGATGTTTGTTTAAGGTCACTTTTGTGTTGGGGGTGGTCTACCATTTCTTAGGCCTTGTTTGGCCTTGTTCTTGTGCCATCTTTTTAAGCTATTCAGATCACCTTGTTTGGCCTTCTCACGACTAAAACTCAGAGGAATTTCAATGGTGGAAATGGTGTTTTGAGGTCCCAAATAGGAGAGGGTCATCCCCTCTCCTTGTGTTTTGAATACTTGCCATATATGCCTCATGTTTGTTAAGCTTATGTTGGCCATATCTTGGCATGTATTTAGGGTTATTTCAGTATGGCATACCTCTGTTTTGACTTGGTTTTGTCACCCCTTGCATGCTCTATACACTTGTAGTGTATTTCTTACAAACTAGTCTTGTATGCTTTATGAAGTAGCATGTCTTTCTAGCTTGTTTTGAGTCCATTTTAGCATGTTCTTGGTGTTGTTTTGCCATGTCATACCTCTATTAAGGTGTGGTTTGGTTGGCCCTTGCATGCTCCTTGCACTTGTAGTGCATTTCCATGAACTAGCCTCAAATGTATCATGCTTTAACATGTCATTCTAGCATGATTTTGGCTTAACTTCAAGAAGCATTTGTGCATGTTTTAGCATGCTTAAGCTCTTATTTGTATTTTTTTGGTCATGCATGCCATGTTTTGTATAGCTATAGTGCATTCTAGCTTGTTAGCCTTGTGTATTAAGTCCACTAGCATGCCTTGCTTGGACTATTTTCATGATTTGGCATCATTTGAAATGTGATTTCAGTACATGTAATGTTACCATACACTTGCATTTGTCACTCTTTCCATGCTTTGGAGGGTTTGCCTTTTTATGCCTTAAACATGAGTCATTGCGTATGCCTTCATGCCTAAGCTTGCGAGCTATCATTTCAATGTGTTTGGGGGTTATTTTACCATGATATAACTCTGATTTTTGTTGGTGAAACCATCTCATGCTTGGTCTTGGTAGGTGTAGTGTAACCCTCCCTTTTGGCCTTGCATGATCCATACCTTATGCCCTTCATGCTAGCTTATTTTGGCCTCATTCCATACATGTTTTAGACTCATTTTGACATGTTCTAGGACTATTTTGGGCTGCCTTGACCATATGCTTCATGTTTTGCGTAGTTGTAGTACAAATGCCTATGCTAGCTTCAAGCTTTGGGTACCATAGCATGCTTCATTTGTGTTGTGTACCTGATTTGGCATCCTTTAACATGACATTTCAGAGCTTATAGCATTGCCATGTTTCCACTTCATTCACCCTTTGAGTGCCTCTAAGGGTTATGCATTGTTGCCTCATTTGTTGCCTAGCATGTATGTCATCTTGCCTAGGTCCTTGAGCTCCCATCTCAACATGTTTTGGTCTTTGTTTAGACCTAATTAAGCTCTGTCCATGATTGGTTTATGCCTTTGTACCATGTATTGCATGCCCTCTTTGTAGTCCTCTTTGCTAACTTAAATGCTTAAGGACCTTTGCATGCTATACTTGAATTGTTTAAGTGATTTGGCATCATTTCATACCTAATTTCAGAGCTTCTAGTGTTATTACACTTCCACATTTGTCACTCCTTTAGCATTCTTGAGGGTTGTGCTCTTAGGCTTACTTGATGAGCCATTGCATTGAGTATGCATTGTCTTACATTTCGTGCTTTTATTTCATCATGATGGCCGCTGATTTGGGCATGACTGAGGTCTGTCCATTTTGGTTTAAGTCCATCGAACATGTTATGCGAATGTTGTTACATTGCATCATGTTGTTGCATGCTTATGTTGCCTTGCATTGCGTATGCATGCATTAGCATTGTTTGCATGACATTAGCTTTGTTAAATTGATCATGTCACATTGCATTGAGTATGCCATGTTGTTCATCGCATTGAGTATGCTATGTTATCCTTTACATTGTGTATGCCATATAGTTGCATTGTGTTTTGCATGCCTTGCATTGCATGTTTGCATGCTTGAGTTACATTCCATGTTTGTATGCTTGAGTTGCTTGCATTATGTTTAGATTAGGTATAAATCTGAACACGAGAAATGAGGGACGTTTCATACTTGAAGTGATGAAACGTGCCTCAATTCTCAATCGCCGATCCTCTTGATCATACATGATAGAGGTCAAGGCTTTATGTGTTTATTTGTGCATTCATTTTACTTTGAATTGTGCAATTTGGCTTCTCAGCCATCATGCATCGAGATGCGTGATTGGTGGCCCGAGGGTCGAGAACCACACTCCCTTGAGCTTATGAAATGATAAGGAGAGTGGTTGTGCACACATATCTTGTAAATACATTGCCATGCCCTTTCTTGCTCTCTGTTGCAGCAAGCTGGAAGAGTGCAGCAGCAATTGGTCAGCCGACTAGATAAACTAGCTGGCCGACCACTTCTTCTAGTCTGCAGCAAAGAAAAGTGATCAGCAGGTGGTCTGCCACATCAACAAGTGGTCGGCCATGCTCCCATAGGTCCCCAAGGTGAGTTGGAAGCTTTCTGGAGCTTGGTGCAAGGTTCTGAGAACAATTGCAAACAGAGGCAAGTTGGGGCATCGCAACGGATTTCCGAACGAGGCGACCGAACATGCATGCACTCCTCATCTCGAGGACTTCTCTTTAATGCTTTTCTTAGCTAGTTTATGCTCTGGTTCTGTACCTAATTAGTTAAATGTGTTTAGCTATTCAATTCGTGTTGTAATAGCATAATTAGTTAGCTTGTTAGTTAGCTAGTTTTGTGATGTAATAAGTAGTTTAATTAGCTTAGACTAGCTAGTTAGCTTATTATTCAGACCCTCCATCGAGAGGGCCAACTGTTGTAATAAGCATGCATGTGTGTGATGCATGTCTTCCAACCTCCATTTCTTTCTCCCTTTTACTTAACTGCTTACGATGGTTAGTTTTAGGGCATATTTCAATTAGCATACTTATGCTTCGCATGCATGCATCCATTCATCTATCTTGCATGCACCGGGCTCGGCGCATCATAGTAACTATATTGTATTTCAATTCCAAGTTGAATACATGTATCGAATTGTCGCATTCACATGACATCTTAGATAGCTGAGCCTATCTTAGTTGCATTTTCGCATATGTTGCATTAGCCATCTTAACATGAACTAGGATCATGCATGATTTCTAACTAGTTCTTTGTTTTGGCTCGGAGTACACTGTGAGTGTTTACACTTTAGCATACTGCATGAGATATGCATGTTGCCATGTTAGCATGCTTGCCATGAGGCTAACTGCCTAGTTGATTAACTGCCTGAATGCCTGTGGGTGAAGGTTGGATTGCTTAAATTGGAACAATTTATTGAAATCCACGTCTTAGCCTACTTCCGAGTAGCAAACTTGAATCCGTTTTCACAAACGAACATGCAATGTTTTGTTCCAACTTCGGCGATTTAGTCTATACTTGTATGCTGTGCGTATCACATAGTAATTCTAGGTTAATAACCGGAATAAGAACACGTGTTTTCAAAAACAAAATATCATGCTTTGTATAGGCCGATCTTTGATCGGGCGAGCAGGGGTGCTAATTGCATGACCTTCCCCTCTCGTACCCAAGTTCCCGAGCCGAGACAACTTTGGTGATGACAGACACGTGGCCTTAGGCACGAGTCATCGTTTCCTAAATTTCCCCCAAAATAAAACATTTAGGTGGTGACTCTGTATCTGGCAAAGCAGTCCATGTTTGGCATTTCTTTATAAAAAATCAGTTTTCCAAAATGATTTATCGGATTTGGACTCTTTGGTGATTTATCGGTTTCTCATTGCACTTTGTGAAATTAGATTCAGAATTGTGACACGAGTCCAAACTGTGGTAGCCTAGAACAAAAGCGATTCGCGCCCTCGCAGGCGCGGAGAGCGGAATTCTCCCGGGGCGGTCTACACTGTCTAAGTCATAAGGCCCATCAAAAATGGGTTGTCTACAAACTATCATGAAAGCAATACATAAGATAAGCTAATGATTTGAAGACAAAATTAAAGTTATTATTAATGCCATTTACCCAAATATCTTCATCGTCTTCATTGTTTTCATCACCCTAAAAACAATTTAATACAATATCAAGTTATATTTGTTTGTCTAAATTTAGTAGATGATGTGGGATGTATATTAAAATTTGACAAAAGTTCTTGAGTAGAAAAACAAGCAAGCAAACAAAAGCAGAAGCATGAGAAAAATGCAAATGAGTAAACTAATAATGCCGTACAAAATTTACCCAAATATTTTGTTGTGAGGGCATTTTACGTTCACCACCTCCATGCACCCTATGTTCACCTCTACCGTTTTCCTCACCCTAAAAATTGTAATACAATGGCAAGAGGCATTTGTTTACTTAAATTTAGAATCTTAATGTAATCCATATGCAAAATGACAAGCTTGAGTAGAAAAGCAAGCAAGCAAAAGCACAAGCATGAGAAATGTGCAAGTTTACTTGGGTTTCTCCATGTGATTGTCCATTTGCCCCTTTGTTTGGCTCCTACAAGTATTAATCAATTTTTGATTTTTACAAACTTTGCAAAATATCCTTATATCTAAGATGGGATGCACCAAATTAAAAAACAGTTAAATTTTATAGGAAGACAAATTTGTTCACCCAGTGCTGTAAAAATAAGGAATAGTGGATTTTCACAAGTGGAAAGTCAATGAGCTTTTAATCTTTTCCCATATAAATAACCCAAAAAAACTCACAAATAAGTCATGATGAATTTTGGTGGCTCTAATCTTTTGGGTTAAAATGAAAAGTTCAACATGGATAGTTGGACAATGATTTCCCATTCATGCACATGCTGCTAGTATCCAAGTTATAGGTCTAGACTATTGAAGGAGGTTTGTCAGGAGCACCATGCCGTTTTTGTTCTGAGAACATTGCTCTCAATATCTCCTTCACAAGTTTAACTCTGAGTACAGTAGTCCTTAAAGTAATAACAATCCTCAAATGCATCCTATTATTGAGAAACTCAACAATAAAGAAGTTCTTAAAGTAATAATAATCCTTACCTTAAAGTAGGTGAAGTACCCACAGCTCCAAGTGCGAAAGCAGTTGACAGTGAAAGTCTAAGCTTTTTTCCCAGTAGGAGGGGCTATTAGTGGTAGAGTAGATAGAGAAATAAGAGGGCTTATGTGTTTTTGAACCAAACCATGAGGGGGTAGACTGTAATTACTCGTAAATTTAAATAGAAGTCTATGGACTGTGTAGTTCTTTTTATAAAATTAGAAAAAGCTATATGGGTTTCTCCACGAGAATTTTTCTTGCCCATTGTATCTTCACTTGGTTCCTACAGTTTTAATTGAAAAAATTTTAGGAACAACTATCAAACATCAATATATATAACATATATTGTCACATTGTTCATTTTTTTTTTTACATCATTCGACCTTTTTCCTTTTAACATTTCAGCTTTCATCTCCCGGAGTTCTTGTTCTAAGAGCAGCAATTTTTGATTTAGTTGTCTCATATTTTGATTTTGGTATGCTTGTGCATCAACTTTTGATGGCAATGCTCCAAATCCAAGCCCTCTTACACTACCACGCCATTCTGGACCAAACGCTTGAACAATTGCATTATCTTTGATAGACGTTGACCCTTCTTCTTTAGAAGGCTTGTGAAGCCCTTGAACCTTATTTTGTAATATATAACATTTATGATAAGGAACCCAAGTCTGCTAACTACAAAAATAGGTGCAAAACTCATCTCTGAGTTACTTCATAAACTGAAAGGAAACACCATCCCCATTCTTTTTATTGAGCATAATTAGGGCATGTTGCTGATGGTAATGCTTAGTTCAATTCTCAGGAAAACAATAACACTAATATTTCTTCTCCAATCAAATCCAAAAACCCAAAATCCATAGTTTGTACTTATATTCAAAGAAGAAAAAGAGGAAAAGGACGTACCAACTCTGCTAACTACAAAAACAGGTGTAAAACTCGCCTTTGAGTTACTTCACCATAATAGGACAAGTCATTATCAAACAAATTGAAGAAATAAAGTAACACCACAAGCACAACTTCATAGGTTTTGTTTAAGACAAACTGGACCTCTACATATCAAAAAAAAAAAAAAAAGAAGTAAAGCAAACTGGCAATTTTTTCGACATTCATACCAAAACAAAAACAGCACAGCAACAGTAGCCCAAACAAAACAACACAACAACCCAAACAAAATAGCATATCAGCAGCCCAAACAAAACAGCACAGCAGCAAACAACACAGCAGCAGAGCAGTAAAGAACCTTATTGAACACTTGTACAACTATTCGTTGAATAGAATTGAGTTTGAGATATTCATATATTCTCAAATCTTAATTAACTAGCTCACTAGAATTGAGTATTGTTTGTAGATTACTATTCAAATTGGTGACTTCCTTAATCTGCATTAATTACTTTTGACTAGTTATCCTTTATGACTGCTACTTTCTTATGCTTAGGTTTATTGGCAATTTAGACCTTCGTGGTCGACAAGTGAACGAACCATGTAGAACATCACTAGGCTTCCCTGTTTATTCAGACAATTTTTTTTTTTGATATAACAAAAATAAAAGTCAAAGGAAAACTTTTTCTATCATCAATGATAAAAAACCTGTTGAGAAGACTTCTCTTCTTCTTAGAAGAGTCTTCCTCACCATAACTGTTCATACAACCAGATTCACAGATGTCAACGAAGTAGAGTCCATTGTTTGAACGCATAAATTGGATTGCCACATGCATCAAAAGAGTTTAATTTCTGTAGTGAAAACTAGAGAGGTTATATCTTCCTTCTTAAAGGAAATCACCATAGAACCATCTTGCATTTGGATGAAAATAGGATCAGATCACTTTCATTTGAGCAAGTGAAACTAATTTGTAAACATCATATCATTGAATAAGTGATTAATACATTTTTGGTAAAGCTGCAGCCATGGCCACAACATTACAAGTCAAGGTAAAGCTGCAGCCAAGGCCAAAGCCATGACTACAGCTTAGAATAACAGAATAGCTGCAGCAGTTGCAACCACAAGTCAGTCCAACAGAGCAATTGCATTAGATTGCATGTCCTTTGATAGCAATCTTTCAATTATAAAGCAATGGTAAAGTAATAGCTAGCAATCTTTCAATTGAATTGAATTAAATCACAAGCTTTAACAACATATTAAGCTAATTCATGCCACTACTTCCTGAAGCACTTCATTGACAGGTTTCCCCTTTTGTCTTGTATGTCCTTTGATCCAAACATCCACTCTAGATATGGAATTTGGGTCTTGGCTTTGATTTTTCTGGAAAAATAAAAATAAAATAAAATAAAACATAGTACAAAATTAGAAGCAACAAAATCAAAATGCTTTTGAAATAAATGTCGTCTATATTGCCAAACTTATCATGTCTTCCTCTAGTCGTGCATAGCCTTTTCTACTCATTGTCTGTAACACCTTCTGCTTTGCTCTCATCTCTTTGAAATTTTCACTCTTTTCCTGAGTATAAACATTTGAAATGCCCACATTTTTTTAGGATTTGTAATCTTTATCGTAATTGTTATGAAAAGAAATGAGCTTCTACATAAAACTGTTATGAAAAAAAACTTACAATGAAGCTTTTTGAAAGTCAATTTTTCACAAATGCCTTCCATTCATTCATTCCAATCTTATCAGGTTTGGTGAGGGCAATATTACATGCTAAATGACCTTTACCTGTTGCAGCAAGATTTCTTACTTTTCTTGATAGTTCAGACTTGTAATTGCGCCACAATTTTGCGAACTTTTGCATCATATGTGTCTTGTGGATATCATGTATTTTATATCTAAGCTAGATTTTTGTATGACCAAACATTTAGTATTACAAGAGGGGGGAAAATAATGTATTTTTGTATGAAAATTAACTACATAAACATGCTACCTTCACACAAGCCCATAACTTATCCTTAATCTCATCTGAAACTTCAGACCAATAATCTATATCAATTGGCACCGTCTCCCTAGCTAAGATGCCTTCTAAGGTTGATAAGTGCATTGATTCTTGTCCTATCGGTTGGTTCCTTTCATTGAAGTCGATCTCATCACACTTTTGTTTGTCTTTGTCATGCATCTTTAACTTTGACGGCCCCCTAGTTTTCTTCTTTGGTTGTTGAGCAGAGTCAGCTACTTCATCTACATTTGGTGATTCAATTTGTCTAGTATTGGAACCTACATCTGAAATTCTAATGGGTCCATCACTTTTATTATCCATTGTGGCAGCAACTATAGCTTCTTGCTCTTTCTTATGTCTTTTTGCTGCCTTTTTACAACTCTTTATGACACATGAAAAAAATAAAAACAAAGCAACCAATAATTGGTTAAAAAATGTGTACCCAAAATAAATAAATTAGAAAAAAAAAACATTTGTTTGAAAGGTACTTCTACACACATTGTTGGTTGGCAACTTCAATTACTAAATCCATAAAAAAGAATTCCACCTGCAAAAATGAAAGAACAAAATTAAGTCAAGTAATTTTTTTTTATATGAGATACAAGTATATTAAAGTGTTTTGTAAAAGGGAAAAGAAAAAACTACTAATTAATTTCATACATACCACAAATGTCACATAGTGAAAAAGTGATTCTTAAACATTAATCACAATAGAACACAAGTACTTATAATGTTATTTTACTTCATTACTAGGTCAACAAAACATGAAGAGTAACTCATTCATCATGCAACACTTCCACACCCTCACAATCAGTCCTTACATAGAACTCATCTTTATCACTATTAGCCATTTCAAGCCCAACTATATCGACATGTTCACATGGCATGTAAGCATCATCATCATACATTTCAAAATCATGAAAACCTCTTCGGGGTACTTTAAGTACAACTTCCCAACTGGATGTATCATTATCTCTAAAATAAAACACTTGTTTTGCTTGTGAGGCTAAAATGAACGGATCTCTCTGAAATTGATGTCTGCCATGCTATAAGTTAACCAAAGTAAATCCATCTTCAACTTTGACACCATTTCTAGTAGCTGCCCAATCACATTTAAATAAAGGGACTTGGAATTTATAATAGTCTAACAAAATAATATCTTTAATAACCCCATAAAAAAATATTTTTCTCACAACTTGTGTGGTATCTCTCTTACTAGCCTGACAAAGAGTTTCTGCTTCGATGGAAACACCACTATTTTGTGCAGCCCTCTCAACATCGGTTGTATGAAAGTGATAGCTATATACACCTCATTTTTGACCGCCCTTACGACTTGGGCATGATCACTTGCACACCCAATGATAAATGTATATGCTTGTCAAGTGCTCCAAAGTCCTCAACGGAATGCCACAGCTCTGA